ACAAAGTTGTCAATCGGGGACCTTCTGTCAATCAGGGACCTTATTGTCCTCTATTGTTCAAGGTCCCCATTTGAATGCAGAAACAAACTCACAAACACCCATGTTTAAAAATTGTAATCTTGCTTAAGATCCTGTTGGATAAAAAGTTTACATTGACCAGAAATGGTTTTTGTAATACATTTGCTCAACCTTGATGCTCATGGTTCCCCCAGCATAATGAGCACATTAACATTGACAGGTATACAGCCTTAAAAATCAACTATAAAATAACTAAGAGGAAAATGAAAGACAAAATTTAAAGGAACACATTCATCAAATCTTGCTTAAAAAAATGATTGACAAAACATTCACATTGACAATTTGTGTACCTGTGAACAGAAGGGCCATCAAATATTTACTGTGTTCCACAGCCTGGCAAGAAATGGAATGGGGCTATTTCTATACTGAGTAGTTCTGCAAAATGGAACATAGAGTTGGTTATTACCTCTGAAAAGGTCATAATGGGATTGTGATCTAAACTCAGGTAACCACAAGTTAAATTCCTCCCCCCTGTAGAGTGGGTTGTGTCTCCTAATGGTATGTATCACTAGGAGACCGACCCACTTTACGTGGGTAAGGAGTCTCCTGCGTTCACATACCCCTGCCCAGCCTACACATGCGGAGTGGCACTGAACCCTGGAGGTAGGTCAGCGACGAGAGTGTAGTTTATTAAAAGGAACATAAGGGTGGGTGTAGCAAGAGCGAGCACTCACCAGGAGAAACTGCTATTAAGTCGTGGTATCCATCATCCGGCCTGGAACAGTGCTGGACATTGTCCGGACTGCCGAGTGCAGGGCTGCTCTGCCATAGGCTGCTTTGCACTGCAGAACAACTTTAAGGCAGCACTCGGTGAAGGTGGAGGGAGATTTCCAGCAAGCTGCCTGGTGGATTTGAGCTAGAGGAACTCCGCTGAGGTATGACCAGGATGCAAAGGTGGTCCCAGGATAAGACGAGGCCTATGACATGGGGACGAGGAGATGGTGGATGGGAGTGCTGTCAGAGACAGTCAATCCATCGCTGAAGCCCGAGTGAACAGCTGCCACGGCCGACCAGTAGTTGCGGATGGTGGCAATCTGGAGACCTGAGTACAACAGATACGTGAGGAAGTCTGCAATGGAACTCACAGGAGCTTCGGTTGGAGAAACATCATGGTTGTCACACCATCTAGTAAATTGCTGTCTGCGGCTGTTGTAAATTTTGTGAGTGGACAGTTGTCAACCCCAGGCTGCCATAGATGCAGCGTCTGCAGAAAGGCCTGACGTCCTGATGGATCAATGGACAACGTCAAGCACGTCAAGTGAAGACTCTCTGGTGCTGGTTGGAGGATCCCTGACTTGGGTTGAAGAAGGATGTCCTCTCTGACTGGAAGGACCAGCAGCCGTTGTACCAGGAGTTTTGTCAGTCTTGGAAAACAACAGTTGGAAAGGCCAGAATGGAGTGATGAGGAGGATCTGACATGGTTCTCGTTCTATTTGCGGAACTTTGTGAGATGGGTTTTGCCGGCAGAAGTGAAGAGGTCGATATAGATGGATCCCAATACGAGGCTTTTAGCATCAATCTGCATGCTTCCTTATTTGAAAACAAGGCTGTATGTGTCAGCTTCAATTCTTAATACGATCGGACAATTGAAAGTAAAGAGTCAAGACATAAAATACACAAAGGTATGTTAAATTCAGACTTTTCAGGCTGCAAATTTTTGTGGAAAAGTCTATCAGGATGACTCGACACGTAAAAATCAAATAAAAGAAAAAATAACGGCAATCTACCACGAACTAACTTACCTGCGATGGTCGTGTATCTTGTGCAGTGGGCGTGGTTTAAACTGAAGTGGCGTCACACTTACATGTATGAACCGGATACTGCACATACTGTGTGGACTCCGTGGGTGCATGTGACGAAGTTCAACACAGAGAGCCTCGGTTTCGATGCAGATATGTGCAGATGGTGCTAATGTGAAATCCCTCTATGGGGACACTCGATCTCCGCAAAATCTGGCTGACCACGTTCAGGTCAAGAATCCACCCTGTTGGTCAGACGGTGCCCTGACAGTATGTCTGCTATGCTGTTGCTGGTTCCCATTGTGTGGACGGGCGATGCATCGAGGAGAGTGAGTGTCACCTTGGCGTTTGATGTATGACACTGCCGTGGAGTTGTTGCTCTGGACTCGAACACAATGACCTACTAAGTGTCGTTGGAAGTGGCAGAGAGTGATAAACACCACTTGGAGCTCTAATCTGTTGATGTGTTTGTCTCGAGAGGCTGTGTCTCATGGAGACATGGAGCGGAGCAAGAAAGGACCCCATCTGAATAGTGACACATCTATCGTCACAGTCACATCCGGACCTAGAGGTATGAAAGGAAGGC